CCTCGTAGTCGGAGAGGTCGGCCTCCATGCTCTGCTTCGCCAGCATCTCCCGCCGCGCCCGGAGCCGCTCGCATTTGGGGCAGCGCCCAGTCCGGAAGCAGGCTCTGTGATAGCAGGCTTTGCATTCTGCAGCGGGGGAGAGAACAGAAGCGCCGGCTGAGTGGGGAGGCGGCAAGCGTTGCGGGAAGGAGACTGCGGGGACCTGAGGACCTGCGGCGGTCCCCCCGGAACTCACACGTCGAAGTGGCGCAGACCGGAAGTCCAAACCCCACAATGGGTCTACTGCGTTAAGGCCCTGCTTGTAGTCTCCCTAGAACCACCGGGGCGAACTGTTGTGGGAAAGAGGGTGCTAGACGACAAATGACCAAATCCAGCAAGGCTCCCCTGAAGTTCTTGCACTGCAAATGACCCCCCAATTAAGAACATAAGGATGTAAGAGAAGCCCTGCTGGATCAGGCCAATGGCCCACCCAGTCCAACACTCCGCATCACACAGTGGTCAAAACCCAGGGGCCACCAGGAGGTCCACCAGCGGGCTAACTTCCCACCCCCCTCTAATCCAGAAGGGCAAGAGGAACTATACCCCCTAACATTGAGAAGAGAGGAGATTGGATTTATACCCCGCCCCTCACTACCCAAGGGAGTCTCAGAGCGGCTTACAAACTCCTTTCTCTTCCCCTCCCCACAATAGACGCCCTGTGAGGCAGGTGGGGCTGAGAGAGCTCTTTCAAGGACTGCTCTTGAGAGAACAGCTCTGAGAGAACTTGTGACTGACCCAAGGTCACCCAGCTGGCTGCATGTGGAGGAGTGGGGAATCAATCCCAGTTCTCTGAGATTAGAGTCCGCGCTCCTAACCACTACACCAAACTGAGGCCTACAAGCAACTGGTGCAAGGGAAAGAACAGAAGACTTGAGTGTTCAGTTCAATTGGCGCCTATGGACTACACCATGTTTTTTGTTGGCATAACTGTCCACCTCTGGAGGGGTGTGTCCCCCAGGATGAAAGGGCTAAGGGAGCCAATTAACTTTGGCTGCGCCCCCAGAAGAAGAAGAAGAGGAGGAGGAGAAGAGATGGGATTTATTCCCCGCCCTTCACTACCCAAAGGAGTCTCAGAGCCGCTTATTATCTCCTTCCCCTCCCCCTCCCCACAACAGACACCCTGGGAGGTAGGTGGGACTGAGAGAGCTCTTTTGAGGACTGCCCTTGAGAGAACTGCTCTGGCAGAACTATGGCTTGCCCAAGGTCATCCAGCAGCTGCAAGTGGAGGAGTGGGGAATCAAACCCAGTTCTCCCAGATTAGAGTCCGTGCACTCACTTAACCACTGCACCAAACTGGGCACCCAGCCACAGGCAATCGTCGCTCCTGTTTGACATGCCTACCTTCACACGTCTGGCACTTATTCAGCTCGAAGGGGAAAATGATATCCTCTTCGTTCTGGCAGAACTCACAGATGAAGCCTTTAGCCTGGCACAACTGTAAGGGGGGGGGAGAAGAGGATGAGGAAGAAGCAAGCAGCAGCAACAGCAGCAGAAGAGATTGGATTTATACCCCGCCCTTCACTACCCGAAGGAGTCTCGGAGCGTCTTACAATCTCATTCCCTTCCCCTCCCCACAACAGACACCCTGTGAGGGAGGTGGGGCCGAGAGAGCTGTTTCGAGGCCTGCCCCTGAGAGAACAGCTCTGAGAGAACTTGTGACTGACCCAAGGTCACCCAGCTGGCTGCATGTGAAGGAGTGGGGGAAATCAAACCCGGTTCTCCCAGATTAGAGTCCGCGCTCCTAACCACTACGAGGTCTTACTTCAAGGTCAGGATTGTCTCCTCGGACTGGCAGCAGCTCTCCGGGGTCTCTGGCAGAGGTAGAAACGGTAACATCGACAAAAGAACTGAATAAGGGGGGAAGGGAGTACTTACCATGCACTTCTCGACATGGAGGGTCCCTGCCTTGAAGAGCTCGGCCAAGCGGGGCGCCAGCTCCCCCTTCTTGGTGGCGCTCAGGTCGTTCAAGGAGTAGAGGTGGAGATCCTCCGTCAGGTGGCCTGGCACGCTGTCGAAGGCATCCAGGAGCCTGGGGGGACCGACAAAAGGGGAGGTCAGCGCTGCTAGAAGGCTGCCCGGATTCTGCATAAAACAACAGCACCCCCGGCCCCATATTCCCTGTCCCTCCTCTGCAAATAAATTCCGCAGCTGGTATAGAACGATGCAAGCGGGGGATATTTGCCGGCTGGGCCGAGAGACGCTCTTTCCCACCAGAATCTCGCTGTCTTTCCTCTTCTTCCCCCTGAAGTGTCTATTTGTCCTTTTGTCTTGCCTCGTTTCGTTATTTCATAGATTCGCAGAGTTGGAAGGGGCCATGCTTTAAAACGGGAAGCGGTTTGTTGTTTTGTAAAGGTCTG